TATCGTATCGTACGTATCCTTCCAATACAGTACGTACGTATCCGTTGCAATATCAGAAATAGATTACCTCRCAAAGAACAAAGATGTCAGTAGATCAGAATAATAAGAATCCTGTGTAGATTCTGTACCAGGAGCTACACAGGATCTAATCAGAGCTACTGAAAGCTCAAGTCAGAACGCGATAATCTTACTAATCATAATTTCAATTTTCATACACACTGCCTTAAGAGTACACGTATATCGTGCAAATAGAATAAAAAATACAAAAATAGTCGTTATTAGACTGAAATTGTCCTTCTGGAGCTAGGGAGTTTGAGGGGGAGAAAAATGTAAAAACATGGTATCAACAAATCTTTAATGTAAAGCATGTACTAGGTTGAGCGTGATTTTTTTCTGTCAAAATATAAAGTTATGGAAATGAGATGTTGGTGGCACGTTATGAGTTTCCTGATATGCTAGTATGAAAGATTGAACAAATGACAAACCTACAGTACAGTACCGTACACCCAACTTTCGACTTCCTCTGGCTGTGCACCGCAAAAGACCTAATCAAATGCATATACGTTMCCAATGCATCAATGGACCATTCTCGTACACAAAACATTGATTTTAAGAAAATTGCTGAATTAGATTCCAGATGTGCAGACATAGAAGTAGTATGTACTATTTACTAAGACACAAGAAATACATAGATTTATGGTTCTTGGAGGCCCACGGCTTTTCTTGTATGCAAACACATACTTTTTTGGAATTGAGGATTCAAAAAATCCTTAGTCATGAGCTCAATATTTGCTGGCGAGAATGTAGATATTTTCTGTTAATTTCAAGCAAAATTCCATATTCCAAAATCAGGCACATTTAGCGTGCCATAATCTAAGATTTTTGATTGTATGTGCATACCGGTACTACATACTTATTCCCATACATAAATTCGTAAAGTACGACGGCATAGATTCTATGTTTACGGGAATCACCAAATTAACGTAATTTCAAGTGTTACTGTTATTTTAGGCGTAGTCCCGTACGAAGTACGAGTACCCCTACTTTACTCTACTTAATTAAATTCTTTCTCCGTATCAAAAGTACGAGTACGAGTACGTACAGAAATGGGAAATGAAATTGCAGTTCCAACGGCTGAAGTCCAATCCATGTACCAAGACTCAGCTGTGCGGAAACGTCTTGATCGATTGACAGTATTTTTTGTTGGTTCYCGGCCCACAATACTGTCTGCGTCCAGTAAACTCTCCTGTTCTACTCTTTTGGATACAGAACTAAGTAATACTTGGGAAAAACATTCATTCTTGCTGCTCCATATTATCCGTACAATCGCTGATTCTGAGGCTCCAGCAAAGCCCATAGTCACATGAAGAGTGTTGACGAGACATCCCGTCTTGGAATTGGTGCCATTGTTTCCTTCCAATGCAAGTTTCTTCATCCCCATCGTCATCGTGACTTGCACTTTCCGAACCTTCTTCCTGGACAACGTTTGACTGATGCACGTGTAGTTCGTCGAGCATTGAAGAAGATTAATAATGAGCCAACACTTTGCGTAGTTGTCAACCACAAACTTTTCAAAGATAAAGAGGGTGTCGAAGATGAGATTTGGTGTGCTGAAGCTCATGTCAAGGTTGAAAAAGAAGGAGACCCCGACTTGATTTTTGAGGCGCCCCGTCTCGGAATCGGTGCCATTGTTTCCTTCCAATGCAAGTTCCTTCATCCCCACCGCMACCGTGACATGCAGTTTCCAAACCTTCTTCCTGGACAACGTTTGACTGATGCACGTGTAGTTCGTCGAGCATTGAAGAAGATAAATAATGAGCCTACCCTTTGTGTAGTGCTAAGCCACAAGTTATTTAAAGATGAGATATGGTGTGCCGAAGCTCATATCACGGTGGAAAAAGAAGGTGATCCCGACTTGATTTTTGAGTACGACGATTCAGAACAGGCACCCAAGGRGAGGGGAAATGCTGAAAAAAGTTCTGCAGCTAAAACGACGGATCCCGAAGACGATGACGGAAAAGGYGRTGCTGCAGCTGAGAAGACAGACCGTGATTCTGAAGATAGTGATGCCAATCAAGATGGTGAAGAGGAGCAAGAGGAAAATCCGATGGCAACAATCAGAGAAACATTTTCTTTCGCAACAACACAACGAGCGAAGTTCAACCTTGCAGTTGGTCTTTTTGCTTCTGTCTGTAGTGGTTTTATCCAACCAGGTGTGTCTTACTGAGTAAATTGAAGTCGATCCCATCTGGTTCCTCGCCTTTCTTCTAATAACTTTTTTCATTCTCAATATCATGCCGATAGCAATTGCAATTGCATTCGCACTCGTTTTTGAAAACTTTGCAGATGGTGCGAACACGGATGGTATCAGGAGGCTTGTGCTAATTTTTGTTGGCATCGGTGTTTTTGCTTCTGCTTCAATGATAGTGCAGTCGTCATTTCTTGAGACTGCTGCGGCAGAAATGACTGATACCATGAAGACCAAATGGTTCAATGCTCTCTTACGACAAGATATGACCTATTACGATGTATTGGATACTAGTGGAACAGCTACCATTATAACCAATAATGGTAGGAAATTCAAGAGGTTAGTGGAAGGRTGATGCAAGTAGTAATAGATTGGCTGGCGAATTTGCGAACAATATCTCACAGCTGACTTTTTCATTCAACAGAGGTTTGGGACGAAAGTTGGGAGATGGTATCCAGTTTACGATAACTGCAATTGGAGGTCTTGTCTTCGGATTTTATTGCTCATGGAAGTTGAGTCTKCTYTTGCTGGCCRTTGTGCCATTGATGGCTGTTGTCACTGGTTTTGTGRTCAAGCTAAATCAGACAAAGACAGCAAGAGCGAACGAGTCATACGCCAAAGCTGGGGGGATTGTCTTTTACGCTGTKTCTTCCATTCGTACAATCCTGTCCTTAAACGCGGTCGAAGAAGTCGTAGCCAAGTTTGAAAAAGCGACACAAGAAGCGTTTATAGGTGCCACGGGTCAGGTGATTTCCATAGGTGCCGCAWATGGAGCTTTGATGGCTGTTTTCTTGTTTGCCTACTTACCTCTTACATTGTATGGCACGTACCTCATGTACAGAGAAGTTAGTGAAAATGGATGCGATCCATCTGGAGTCGCTCCATTAAACCCGCCATGCAAGGCGACTGCATTTGAAGTATTTGGTGCTTTGATGGGTGTTACTTTTGGAGGCGCTGTTTTACCACAAGTCGCAGGCTCGATAGAAGAATTTACTGCTGCACGGGCCGCTTGTTACCCTGCACTTGCAGCGATGTACAGAAAGACGGCAGAAGAAGGGCAGAGAAAGGAAGATGCACAAAAAGATGAAAATATGAGGAAATCTCTTGCAAAAAGAAGCAGCTCCATAGCTTCTCTTCCGACGTATGCCATCGATTCATCCTCTCCAAATGGATTGAAACCTCCAACCGTTGTAGGTGATATTGAGTTCAGGGACGTTTCATTTCGATATCCGACACGTCTAGAAGCGGATGTCTACAATGGATTAAATCTCAAAATCAAGGCCGGAACTACTGTGGCACTTTGTGGCCCTTCTGGAGGAGGTAAAAGCACCATTATCCAATTATTAGAAAGATTTTATGATCCCTTTGCAGGGTCGATCAGACTTGATGGCATTGATGTGAGAGACTTAAACGTGAAATGGCTTCGAAAACAGATCGGTTTGGTTTCTCAAGAACCAAGGCTTTTCGCGTTGAGTATCAAAGACAACATTAAAGTTGGTCGTCCAAATGCTAGCATGGAAGAAGTGGAAGAGGCAGCAAGAAAAGCAAATGCACACGATTTTATTCAATCATTTCCCGACGGATACGATACAATGGTAGGAGATGATGGTTCGCAACTTTCAGGTGGACAGAAGCAACGTATATCCATAGCCAGGTATGTCGAAGAGGGATTTTCAAAATCCTAGATTTTGGTGACCTCGTATTCTTGTGCAATTAAACATTTGTAACTGACCATTATTTTTTTCTTGACATCCTTACTATATATCACCAGAGCCTTGATAATGAAACCGAGAATTATTCTCCTTGATGAGGCAACTAGTGCATTGGATTCAGAATCTGAGATTGTTGTCCAAGAGGCATTGGACAAACTGATTAAGGAAGACGAAGGTAACCAAACGGTTATCGTTGTCGCCCATAGGCTCTCTACCATCAAAAATGCTGATATGATAGCTGTTTTGTCCGGTGGAAAAATCGTAGAAACCGGAAAGCACGCCGAGTTGATTTCGAAGAAGGGCACTTACTATGGTCTTGTACAGGCTCAAAAAGGAGAAAAGGAAGAGGAAGCAGATGAGGCTGGGCAGCCTTCTCGTAGAAGCAGTGTGGCTGAGACAGAGGTTGGTTCAGCAGCCATCTCAACAGACTCAGAGAAAGACGATTTAATCAAGTTCCATGAAGTTGACTTTACGTATCCATCACGCCCCGAACAACAAATCTTTCGTGGTTTGGAAATGAGCGTGAAGAAAGGCGAGACTCTTGCTATTGTGGGTCCAAGGTAAGTTAACAGCTATGGCATTCTGATCTTCAGTAGGGATTTTTGAAGTTATCTGACCATAATGCTTCGTTGCCAACCCTTAATCAGTGGCCAAGGTAAATCAACTGTGATTCAACTAATTGAACAATTCTATCGTCCTGRTGGAGGCCAATTGTTCTACAAAGGTGTCCCAATGACTGACCTAAATGTGGGATGGCTACGAAGTCAGATGTCTCTTGTTGCGCAAGAACCTGTCCTTTTTGACATGAGTGTTCGAGACAACATCCGATTCGGAAAGGAAGATGCCACGCAAGAAGATATCGAAAAGGCTGCTAAGGAAGCAAATTGTCACGATTTTATTTCGGAATTTCCAGRTGGATACGACACCATCGTCGGGTCTGCAGGTACTTCACAAGTGTCAGGTGGCCAGAAGCAGAGGATTGCTATTGCTCGAGCTTTATTACGAGATCCAGAAATCTTGCTCTTGGACGAGGCAACAAGTGCATTAGACTCGGAATCAGAACGGGTCGTTCAGAAGGCACTAGACAAAATTACTTTGAATAAGAACCGAACGGTGGTGCAGATTGCTCATAGATTGTCGACCGTGCGAAATTCTGACCGGATCATTGTTCTTAACAACGGCAAGGTGAGAGAAAATGGAACGCATGATGAACTCATGGCTCTCAAGGGACATTACCATCGTCTTGTAGGGCTACAAAATCTAGACGATGATAAAGATAGAAAGGCTCATTCTGAGGCATTGCAAGATAACAAGGTCTCTGAGTCGTTGGTAAATTCAAAGAATGGCGCTGAGAAAGATCCTGTAGGGGACTACGAGGATTACGAAATAAATCCAGAATTCGACAAGTCGAATGCTAAAAAGGCCAGGACTCTTGCAAAAGGAGATGAAATTTACTTTGTCATTGGAGCTGTTGGTGCCCTTTTGGCTGGTCGTAAGTTTGCATTTCGTACCTTTTATCACGCACTATTTGCCGATAAGCACTGCTAACTTTTTCGTTTCTGTTTCCAATTTTAGTGATTTTTCCTGGTTGGGGTGTAAGTAGTCGCAGATTGAACTAATGTATTTTTGTATTCGCAATATGATGAACATTTGACTCAAAACATACATCACTCTCTTTGTTTTATTGTCAAAAGTTCGCTTTTGCCTACATGGTCGAATTACTTTACTTTAACGTAGTAATTTACTGTAACGAAGGCTCTGCGTTTCAGATCAACCAGTTGATTTATCCACCGGTGGCTTCTCCTTTTGAAAACTGCCAACAATACTGGGATTACGTTCGAGATGACATGCGAGAGAAATCTTTTACAATTTCTTACATCTACATTGGTTTGATGGTCGCTGCACTCTTGGGAAATATACTTGTTTTCTATGGATTCGGAACCGCAACAGAGCGTATGAATAAGAGAGTTCGAGACGCTTCATTCAATAATCTTGTTCGACAAGAGGTTGCGTACTTTGATACAAGACCTGTTAGTTCTATAACATCCCAGTTGAGTGATGATGCAGCAATGATCCATTCTTTTTCGGGAGAACCGGTTCGCACTTTAGTCATGAACACCGCCAGTGTTCTTGTTGGTTTGGTTGTCTCCTTTGTTTATATGTGGCCATTTGCATTCGTTGCCCTCGGCGTTTTACCCTTCATGGCATTGTAAGTCGTTCTTCTAATCCACTTGATTCGAAATCATGCGATGGAATATTTGTTACCTTTTGCTTACATTTCAACTAAATTATATCTTTTGTCCTTTTTCTTGAATATGAAGTGTAAGATATTATTTCGTCAGAACAGTGAAGTAGTCGAAAGAATGTCAACATTTGTATATCACTTACGCTTCTAATTCCATCATTTTTATCACTTCAGGGGGCCGAGGCTGAGCAGAGAATGTACATGGGAGAAGATGTCGACACCGGTGAAGAAGAGAAAACTTCAGGAGTTATTGTCATCGAGAGCCTCTCTAATATCCGGACAGTAGCTTCGTTGTCGCTTGAGGATTCTCGAAGCAAGGACTTCGCGATGGCGTTGCGTAAAGAAGATCCAACGCCTMTGAAAACAAATTGTGTCAAAGGACTCTACACTGGCATAGGGCCACTTTTTCAGCAGTGGAGTTTTGCTCTCCTGTTTTGGTGGGGTGGCTGGTTGATTGATAGATATCCCAATACGTACACATCTCGAGGATATCTTATCTCGATGTTTTCCTTGCTCTTTTCTTTGTCCGGTATGGCAGCGGCACAGCAGGGAGCGACTGATCGTCCAAAAGCTCTTGACGCAGCAGGAAGAATTTTCGAACTCATTGAGCGCAAGTCGGCAATCGACCCTCTGTCGACCGAAGGAAAGAAAGATGTTTAAAATGTGTTGTTTCTTTGTTTCTCTGTTACTGCGTCACTTTTCTAATAATGCTTGTTAACGTTCCGCGGGCTTCTTAGTAGCACTTGATTCGTCTCCGTGCTGAAAGTATCCAATCTGGAGTCATGATATTTTCCATAGCCATTGACTACATAGAGGTAAACTTCAGTGTGGAAATACCTAGTAATTAATTAAACATTATGGCCGTTCATGCATACTCGCCACAGAGCTGGGGTTTGGATCTTTCAAATTTATCTTAGTTCAATACTACGCCTTCTATAACAATTGACTACAGTAACTCTGGTGAGCAAGAAGTTTAAATTTGAAGTTATGAACTTCGATTGGAAGTAAAGTACTTCGAATGTCCTAGTGGAAATTCCACTACAATTTACAGAGCTAGTTTTTGGATTGAAATGCAGGATTTGTAATTGAATGACCTCAAACTATTTCTTTTTGTTTTGATTTAAGCAACATTATTTTTTCAAGTGTCAGGAACATCATAAGAGTATGTATGGTTGTTGAGACTTTAATGATTATGTAAATATACCCTGGACCATTTTGAGAGAGAGAGAGAGAGATCCTTCAATGAGAGTGATCGTAATTTTACTCCCTGAAATTGAAGGAACATGCTGCCTATGATTTCAGATAGAACACAGAGGATCCATCACCTCCCAAGTTGAAAAAAAAATTACCTAAAAAGGAGTCAAAAAACACAAGGCATTGCATCCAGGAGGTCTTAAATTAAATCAAAAAAAAATTGAATCACCATTTTGAAAGTAGGGTCTATGATGGAAAATGATGTCTTCTGTAACATGTCTCATGTTTTCTCAAGCTGTGAAGAAGTGTTGTTAGCACTGTGTGTTAGTGCAGATCATCCACCACTGCTGAGCCTTTGCTCCTGTCCAACCACATATTACTAGTGCTAAACAATAATAAGCTATGAAATGGATTTTGTCTCATTCTCCCAGCATCCACAGTTTTTTGTTGGTCATGCTCCTCATCCAAGAATGCCGTCGCTCAGAGCAGCTCTAGAAGCACCATCCTGCTGCTACCAAGAGGTGATGGCTCTGGCCTACCTACCAGTGCCTTTTGGCACTGCTGATTAAAAAACTTAATATTACATTTRACCTTGTGAACTAGAAGAGGCACTGTGCAGATGGCTAGAGCCACTATTTCTCCTGACTACTGGGTAGAAGAGTGCTCCTYGTAGTCACTCCAAGGGGCACCACCTCACTCTAAGGATGTTTTGTGGAGGCTCCACCAGGTCTACTAGTATGCATACTACTGACAACCAATTAAGGCATGGGGCTGAACTTAGGGGACGTGGAGGGTGATGGTTCAAAATTTTGATGGAAGATAGCTATGTTGTGGTCATTTCTAAGTGCACTGCAAAGCCAAAAGACAAGTCACACCACAGCAAACAAGGAAACAGAAGTAGTCACAAAAGAGAAAAGTGAAAAATACAAGCTGGAGGAAAGCTAAAAGAAAAATATTGCTGAACAAACTGAGTTGGTCTTGGAGTAGGCAGTCTCCTTTGTAATTACAAGTTGTGATGTGGATATTTTATTGAAATAGAAGTGGCAATAGGTGAAGTATTACTGCAGAAGCAGCTGCCTGTGTTGCTTCTTTTTGCAGAAAGGATCAATGACAGTTAGAAGCAGGATGCTGTTTAAACAGAAGAACATATGTATAGACTGGGGAAAAATGTAAATGATCTAAATTGGGACTGTTGTTGTTTTTGTTGTTGTTGTTGTTGCTGCTGCTGCTGTTGTTGTTGTTATTATTGTTGTTGTTATTATTGTTGTTATTATTGTTGTTATTGTTGTTGCCTGGTGTGGATGCCAGAAACAACAATATTGTGTCCAAAAATACTGCTTCTGGTCTATAAAAAGTATGGGAAGAAGTGGCCTATGGAGATAAAAGTAGGTGAATCTTCTTCAAACTAAGTAGGATTCAGAATATACTCCAGGGTTTTTTTAAAAGAGAACAGTTTGGGTTGGATACTGGGGGCTTGGGTTGTTATTGTTGTACACAAATTTTGGAAATAGCAACATGTTGATAAGAAGACACTACTTCCAGCAGTCTGGAAATAGGGCAAGAAATGGGGAATATTTGGCAAGCTCATTAGCATTTAGCATATACACCAGGGGTATTTTTCAAAGGAAAGGTCTGGGTTGGTGGATACTGGGGGCTTTTGTTGGTGCTGGTGCTGCCAGACACAAATTTGTGGGAAAGAACAACATTGTGACCAGAACCATCTTCTAGGTTGGAAATAATACTGGAACAGTGCATGGAGCCAAGGTCTCCTGSGAATCTTCTGTAGTAAATTGAGTGTGTGACAAACACACCAGCCATTGTTCTTCAGAGGAAAGGTTTGGGGGGGACTGGGTGCCAGGGGCTTGGTTGGTTGTTGTTGGCATCTGACACAACAACAAGAAAGGTCAGAAGCAACAAAATTGTGATCAGCAGAAGAAATAGTTTCTGGAGGAACAGGGGATGGACCCAGTTGAGGCAAACTACTATCAGCTGGGGACTGGGGAGTGATGCACCAGACGATCTTATCATACACTTGGTTTGGTTAGTACTTTCATTAGGGCCAGGGAGTTGGATTTTCCACTTCACAATGGGGTGTCACCATGGAAGTTTGGATGCCAGAAGGTGCAAATCAGGTATGTATGTACACAGGAATCAGTAGAAATTCTAGGAGATCATTTTCAGAACCAAAGTGTAAGTTTGTGTTTGTCTGAAAAAAATGTTTTTGAAAGTTATGGCACTGCTGATACTATTACTGCGTGCTGTAACAATGGGCTGAGACACTTGCATTAAAGAATTTGGTTCTCATATCATCTCCTAATCTCATGATCTCAACTACTATTGTCATGTCATCTCAAAACTAGTATTACTAGTAGCAGTATTACTAGTAGTATTTGTACTAGTAGAAGGAACCATCCAATGACTTGACTTTGTACTTCATAACTACTACAACTACTAATGCTGTGACTTGAGAGGGGCTGAAAAGGACTCATTGTTGTTACTTTTTTCCTAATGTTACATGTGGTTGAACATCAATCAGTTCATACAACAGTTCTCCTTGCTGTCTCCTATCATGGGTTATGTAACATTAACCTTTATCCAATTGGTAGTAGGTAGCTGCCCCCCTGGCTGGGCACTGGTAATTAAATTTGATTTAGAGCTGCATAAGCAAAAAATCAATTAAATTTTATAATGTTTCTAATCAACAAGTTAGGAATGAATGCTGGCTCATCCCATCCCTCTAGTACTTGTACTACTAGTAGTATTACTACCACAAACTGGCGGAGTTGAACTTTCTTGACTCATATTGGCGCTCCAGACAAGCAATCTCAATTTGCTATGGTACACTATATAGTAGCAGAACTTTTCAACACTTTTCCACAGGGGCTGGTGGCCTTGATGATTCTTACTCCTCTGGACTTTCTGAAGAAGCAAAAAGAAACTTGTTTTTTTTTAATGGAATCCATCTAGGCCTGCCAAGAGCCCCAAAAATTGCAAATAAATTAGTACCTTGTCAATGAAATCTCTTTTAACTTTTTTGTAACTCCTAAAGCAGCCTGACCCCCCCCCTAACTAATTTTTCTCAGTTTTTGGAGAGTTATATCTCATCTACTCTCTTTACCTGTCACCCCATGCCTGGATCCATGTGTTTGATTGACTCTGCTGCTTCCCTTGCCTTTGTTGCTGGATGYCACTTCATCTCCATGTTGCCCTTTACAGCTGCAAGCTTACATTGTGGCATCCAGTGCTTGTAAGCACAAGCCTTAGGACCTTTGAACATGAGCATTCTGGCTTGATGCCTTGCCTTCTTTATTTTGGCTCTCCTGCTGTTTGATTTCATCCTTTGCTTTGGATGACAACCAAACAAGATTGCTGTGTATCATGGGGGAACCAAGTCTGGGGAGCTCACAGGGTACAGTATCGTTGATATACATCTTTGTGTAGCTCTTTGACTAGAAAGACTGGTGCTTTCAGTTGCTCAGTATGCTTGTTTTGCTGCTGCTGCTTCCTTTTTTCAGTATCCTTCAATTTTAGCAGGGGTACCCTCCCTCACAGGAAGTATTGTTCTTGACCAATTTAAGGAGAAAGAAATTGGATTGATGCATCGTGTTAAAGCACAGAGAAATGCTTCCATCACAGTTCCTTCTGATAAACCGGAAAAAGAACAAATGTATCAAGGAGGGGTATTGCCAAGTTATGAGTTCACACAATTAGTGACCTACTAATTTAGTGAAGAGAGATTGTCTGTTGAGGTGCAAGGTGTCCATTGTGGGACTGGAATACGTTGAGTCTAGGACTGGATGCGTTGAGTCAAAGTAGTCTTAACACAGTAATTAGATGGTCCAAAATTGACGCACCATACAAAAGATACATGTAGGACATTAAYTAAGGGTCACCTCACTCTGATAGCTATATCTTGGTCCCCAACAGATGCAAAACAACATTAAGCACATGTTGAAAAAGAGAATTGTGAGAGCTTTCAATGGTATGGGGGAGTTGGGGGATCCTAGTGGTATTTACCAATATAYCTGAATGGATATTGAGCATTGCTAATGTACAAATGACACAGCTGGAAAATACACAGGTACCTCTACTTGACAAAAAAGTATTTCTTTCTTCCTTTTTTGGGGCATGCATTTGCAAGTGGCAACATTTGGCAACATGAGTTACAAAATGTTAATACTTTTTAACCTTTGTACTCACTCAGTTTTTGCACTGTAGAAACCACCTGCATCATTAGCCAGCCAATCAGGAACCACCGCCAGGTTGATATCCAATTTTGAAAAATATTGATTTTTGAATTGCAGGAATCCCCCATTTCAAATTCTGTGATCTCTTTTGATCACAAAAAATGAGATATACTAATCTGATCACAAAATTGCTGAATTTCTTCTTGCTGTTTGCAATTTTTGTGATCAATTTTGATCACAATTTTTCAAGGGATGGTGCTGATTCTTAGAGGAGGACTGGTGGAGGATACTACTATTGAGAAGATCTAGTAGTAGTAGTAGTCCTGGGACCACCACCAGTGCATCAACAATGGTGAGTGTGTCGAAACAGACATTTCATTTGTGTCATGCAATGGGTGTTGATATGTGTTAGACGTTGTCGTTGCATGTGCAATGACAATTTGTTGTTCAAAGGTGTGAACAGATGGTTTTGTTGGTATAGTCATGTGATGAGGAGAGAGCATGCCWTAAAAAAAGATCACCATGGTGGTGAYAATTTTTTTCGGAAGGATGTCATAACCTRTGGGAGTGACTATCTAATAGTGATATAAACCGTGCACTAGAAGAAAAGTGAGTTGATGCTCTTATCAATGATCAAAGAACTATGAAATCTAAGATTGATCAGCAGAATGAAGATCAAGTGATGTGTGAATCGAATGAGTCAAGTCAGTCACACAAGTGAATCAACTGAGTCATGTCAATCATATGGATCCATAGGATTGAGTGAGTCATATAGTATGTAGAGTGTGAATGAATCATATGTATGTGTCATATGTATGTGTCATAGATATGAATCATACCCATGATCTGATATCCTACGGACAGCACCAATTAGATATTGTGCACTTTTTTATCAATTTTGATCACAATCCATCAACCACAAAATGGATTTTTTATCACAAAAATTTGTGATGAAAGTTGATAACAATTTTCAGGATCAGGAGGTGGTCCTGGGTGCACGAGATTACGTGTACTCTTAGTAGGTGTTAAGTGTGTATGAAGATTGAATTATAAGATTAAGATTATTCGAAGATTACCAAGCGCGTTCACGAGAATTCCGAAGTTCCGATTGGAACCTCATGTAGACCTGGTAGGGAATCTACATGGGAGTTCTCTGTTCCGGACTCGTGACATCTCTATTCTTCGTGAGGTATTCTCGAATAGTATCTTAGACCTCTTACGATCATCAATATGATGGATCGTATGATCTATACATATAAACAGTACCTTACGATAGGTACGTATGAATGGTATGCTCCTTCATTCCTTTCTACGAAGCTTCGTATCGTACGTATGCTTCAGATATAGTACGTACGTATCTTTCTAATGCAGTACGTATGTATCCATTGCACTGGGAATTCATGTTTTCCCCAAAAATTGAAATCAAGATGGTTCTGGCAAGAATTTGTAGTAGTAGGAGTACTAATACTAGTAATACTGCTATGATTTTCATAGTAGTAGTAACAATTGCACAGTGTGTCTTGCGTATTTGCCAAGAGTTTCAATTTGAAGTTAAGAACTGCAAGAACTTCAATTTGAAGTTATGAACTTTTGCTCATACATCATGTGCYAGGTTCTAGCTACTAGTACAGAGCTGTTTCTTAAGAAATGACTGAATGGCCGGATTGATTCCCTTCAAAACAAAAAATAGTTCCAGATGATTCAATCATGAATGCCATAAAAACTACTACTAGCTCAGTAGAACACAATAGGATTTCTACTGGGACATTTGAAGTTCTTAACGTCAAATCGAAACTCTTGGCGCACAGGCAAAAGACACTGAGCAATTGTTATGAAACTCGTAGTAATTCAGTCGTGGGAGAGTTGTACCAATACTTCAACAAACGTATCGGTACCGTACGTACAGCACCGTACTATTGTTTTGATTCACGTTCTTCGTACGGTACAGTACCGTACGTACGCATCCACAGTGTTTATTTATTGCAGAGGTTGACTACTACTGTACCAAGTACTACGCACTAATTTTGATACCGACGCCCCCCCCTTGCCTTCTGACAGGAGAAAAGTCAAGTCCGTTTACGTGCGCCTTSAGAATTCTCAGTTTGGACCCGAAAAAGAATCAATCGGTGACCAAAACTGAACGAAGAATCATTCATTCGACAAATACAGTACGGTACAGTAACGAACCGTTCGCTTCTGTCGAGATTCATACTCTCAACGAATCTATTAGTATTTGGTATTTGGCCACTTTCTGTTCGTAGAGATAAAGGACAAAGGACGATATCCCGAACGGGGGCGGAATCGAGAACCAAAACTGAGCAGCAGCATGACAAATTMTCTGTCCTGTGCATTATTATTTTTCTTGGCAAACGCGATCTCGAGTTTGACTTCGAACGTGGGTCTGTCGGTGTATGTAGCATCGGCAGCAGCGGTACCCACGATCAAAAAACAGCATGCAAATATCACGAACGAAAGCATTGCTATCAGCAGCGATGTCGTTCGTGGTACGAGTATTTTCGGTGCCGGTTATACCTACAATTCCTGCAGCTCCCTGAATACATGTGAAGATTGCACCAGCACGCATACGTGCCACTGGTGCAAGTCGACAGAAAGCTGCCACGCTCGTGGAAGCATTCACGGTTGCGCCTGGGGAAGCACCTGCAGCAATGGACCCCCCAAACCAAAGGACAACACAACCTGCGCGGCCCAAACAACCTGCCACGATTGTGCCCTGGCGTCCCGCTTCTGCCACTGGTGCGAACACGACAATGCGTGTCACGCAGTTGGAAGCCGTTTTGGATGCGCGGTCGGCGTCGACTGTTATTCCAACGATCGGTGCCGAAGGTCCGAGGCGGAGCCACTTCCGCAGCCTTCTTCTCCGATAAACGCGGTGTTGGATCGGGTTCCGACGGGAGCCCTGACCGCGATTCTTTTGGTCGGCGGGGTATGTGTCGCATGCCTTTGTGTTTGTCGCCACCGTCGCCGCATCTGTTGTCGCTCGCACCACACCACAAGCAGCAGGGGTACCGATGCTCGCGCGGCAGCCGGTCCAAACGAGGACGACCATTTTTACACCCGGTTGCCCGACATTTCCATGGAAGTCGACGCCACTGTCGAGGAAGAAAACCAACCCTCCGTCGATTCCGACACCACTGCCATAAGCAATGGCGATGGTGGTAACGATGAAGTCAGGGCCGATGGTGGTGACATTGTGGCAGAGGAGACATCACGGCCACCCGAAGAGGCCGGCGACCAAGGCAACAATGCGCTTCGATCGGTACAATCGGAGCAGAACGAGAACCGAGAGCAACAAAATCAGGTACAAGCGAACGAGGAAAGTAGCAATCCTTATCATCTTATGCAGGAGGCACAAAATCACAACAACAATACCGATCGAAATCAACCCGGGAATCGAGAGAATGAAGCCGCTCCTCTGCTTCATCCATCCTTCAACGGCGACATCGACATCGACTCGGCCGACCAGCCCCGCCAATCTCAACGATCAAACAGGTGCTGTTCGATGCTGCATTGGCTCTCGATCTTTACGATTCTGTTTTTTGTGGGCACTTCCTTGTTCTTTTTCCCACAAATACCCGTCTACAATGTTTGCAACGATGAGGTCGCCTGGTCTGAAATCGTGAAGAAAATTGTAACCTTCCGGATAGATGCCGGCCTCGAAATTCTGACAAGCCTGAGCAATCCAAATCGCATAGCTGCTGCCCTTGACGAGGGAAAAGGAACCTTTTCTTTTCAGGGAAAACAATTCGGTACCTACGTAATCCCACCAATGACGGTCCAGCCGATGTCGATCACGGACTTTATGATCATCGTTCACATCACGCCCGCGGACAGACACCAGGCATTCCAATTGGCTGAAGCCTTTTACCACCGGACACTGATCCTTGAAGCCGAATTCGAAGGCACAATTCGTGTCCCGGCTTTGTTCAATCTCACCCAGGACGTTTCAGCCCAGAATATTACAGTAGATATCAACGAGATTTCGGACCGAAGCCTTTGCCACTGTCCAACCTGGGACGGCGATAAGAACCATTCCATAGATTCTTTGTTGAAATTGATGGAAGATCAATGGTCAATTCATTTTAACCAGTGGAATCCCTACCGGTAGTGGCATCATAATATTTGAATGTCATGAGTATCGTTTCGTGACGTATTGCACGAGCACCAAACACTTCCTGGAAACATCGCTACCAGATTTCACCTAAAATGTATTCCTAGTAGTAGTATTCAATGCTGTCATACAACATCTAAAATACTATATTTTACTTTCTTGACAAGGAACTAAGCTTCTGCATGGTCACAATGACAGAGAAATTCATCCAAAAGCGCTCTATTCCTACTACTGTCCTCGCAGTGCTTCGTTTGGTTATTGGCGTTGCATTAGCCACGCAAATGCTGTTTCTCCTCTCTCCCGGAAGTCTTTTACCTAACCAAATGAATCAAACGAAGGACGTCGCCAGTCACGACAACTGATACTCCGGTGCACCTCTTACACCATCCTGTCTTGCTACAAATCGAGCTGCCGGTCTCTTTTGATGGCATGATAAGACCGCAACGTCCACATTGAGTGTTCTCTCTCACTCGATAGAACGGACCAAACTGATACTCTCCATCTCCATTGGCACGAGCTTTCAAACTCGTAAATGTTTTTGACGTATCATTCAATATTCTCAAAGCTGTGTACTTTACAACGAACGCGTCCATAGAGAGACTTTGATAGGAAGGGCTCTGTTCTATTCTTTTCATCAGGACTTTTAACTCGTGCGAGTTAGGAACAGATTTCATTCGCTTCTGAAAGCGACGTCGTAGATGGTGGTATCTATTCTTGATCCCGTTGTCGGTACGACCAGGTAGATACTTGACCATTTGTGACCACTTTGAACCATGCGATGCGTACATTCGAAAAATCATAGTATCTTCGAGGGCCGTCCACGCCGTCCGTTTTAAGTGAGGCCCAAGATGATTCAAATAACGCTCACGGCATTGCTTGCCTGTCCTATCGGGTACATCCAGAGCAATCTCAGGCCAACAAAAGTTGTTTTTTACCGAGCCTATTACGTCCAAGAGCAATTTATCTTCTTCTGGCGTCCACAATCTTGGAGTACGCAAAGAACTAGTGGTGATGGAACCACCGCGGCTGTCCCTGGCATCTGAAGATGCCGAAGATCTAGCCGGACTGTAAGCCGACAATGCACTTATCTGACTATCAACTGGACTATCGGGTTCCACAGTTTTTCCGACGGGACTTCGTCGGATGATTGGAGATTGGTGACTTTCGTCGACGGTGAAATGCAGCTTTCGCTTTTTCTCGAGAGAACTATCGACAATTGTAGGAAAATTTTCAAGCGAAGATGATGGGTCTCGAGAATGATGACCAGAGGCTGCTTCAATGAGAGGACTGTTGGTTTGGAGCTGCTTTTGAGATAGAAATAAATCCGGAGAAGAGGGAAAATTTGAGCAGTCCATTACAATAGGAGAAAGAGAAAGTTCCTAGAAGTCCGTAAGTTTGAGAGCATTGGGAAAAAATATGTTGTTGAATCGACACGTGAGAGATTGCATTTTGATTGCACAAGATATAACATACGCATTTTCTGCTATGTGATATCGTAACGGGTATCATAATAGGTAGATTGACACTTACTACACTTCTGTCATCTCGTTGCTGATCTTGATGTTGATGCTGATGCTGGTGCTGGTGCTGGTGCTGGTGCGGATATAGATCTTGATTCCTATTCTGATTATGGTACTGGGACTGGTACTGATTCTGATCCATGTTACTATCCATCCAACTAGCCGAATACGACACATTTTTTCGCTTGCCAAAGGGAGGGCCCGGGGTGTTCTTCCGCGACTCATTCAACACGGGCATCATCTCGTGAAGATAAGCTTCATACGGATGACTTTCCACATACACAAGCTCTTTTTTTTTGTCGGGGAATTCGACCCTGAAACGTTGTTGTTGCTGCCGACAGCCAGAAATCACAGTCCCGAATTCCCAGAGGGCGGTGCTGGGTCGAAGAACCGGAATATCGTACCCGATAAGACAACCGCTACAAATCTCGAGCGAAGAGCCAGCACCGAGACATTCCTTCCAGGTCTTGGCGTAAGTGCGAATCAAATCTTGAATGCGGGTTGATCTTTTGCAACTCGGGCAGGAAACGCTCATTGCGAAAGATGCCGTTTGTCTCGATGACGGAAACAACGTCGAGGGTAGATTTTAAAATTGTATGCTTGTGGTGTGCTCTTGCGTTCAACTGAAGTTGGGTTGTTCGTTGAAGATTTCAAATTGAATGAAATCTGTTGTGAACTAACGGTTTAAAATCTGTTTCATTATGCCGTGAAACTAATGCTGCAATTTGCATTGGAACTAGACCCACGGGGGCCAGTCTGTTTCTGTTGTTATCGTTTCGTTGAGCTCGTACTCGTACCAGTCTGTACAACTTTTGGTAATACAGTAATAAATACAATTCTCGAACGGTTTTTGAGAATTCAGGTTTTCTTTGGATGGACACTGTGATTGAACGAGTACTTCGTTCGTAGATTACTTAGGGTTCTGGCTACGTTACTCGTATCCGTAGCGTTCCAGGTACGAGTACGTACTCGCCTTCATCCATCCAGAACAGTCCGCCTGAATATGTAACTCATACGTACCGTACTGTACTACGATCACCAAAAAATATTTCGAAGATCACCAAAAGGTACGAAGTTGAGACGACTCACTCAAATAACGGATGGATTGGTCGATTATATTGGTCGACCAAGTCGAACAAATTTCCCCCGTCTTCGGAAAGTTTTTTAAGAACGTGTGGTACGGTAGTACGCACCGTACTTACTGTAGTACCGTAGCCAAACAAAAAAGCGGTGAAGAAAGTTACGACAAGGCAATCAACTCGATGAAATTAAAAAAACGAAAGAAGTCGACCTGCACACTGCGAGTACGGTACCGCTGACCTCGTGCAAACCAGTCTAAAGCCTGCAGACCGTCGCTACGTTGCAACGAATTACTGCGTTTGGCACTGCGCTATATCTGTCTACATCACGTGGTCTCTACAACAGACTTTTCCATTCACAGGAACGCACTGAAGCACCTCAAGCAGAGAAGACAAAGACGAAAGCTATTGCGTGTAGGGTGTATAACGTGCAAAGGTTGGAACAAGAAAGGGATCCATCGTTTCTCTTATCATGGACGATCCAAAAAAATCCGAGGAATTGAAGGACATCACCCAAATATTGGAAGATGTATCTTCCCTTTTGACCTTCGAGTCGCCCATGCTTCACTCGAAAGCGTTCAACCTTCAAGATTCCATGGCGGCGTTGGAGATCATGGACAAAAAGATGGACTGTTGCGAGGTCCCATACCAAAAAGAAGAAATTCTAGTACTATGCGACAGTAAAGGGGTCGATGGAAACGAAAAGCGCGAAGATCAGACGCCAGAACAACGATTGATTTTCCCGCGTCCGGCGCCAACGGGACTTGATGACGAGGTGGATACATTGCCATGGAACGAGCTGACTCTGGACGATGCAGTCTATATAGCCATGGAACATCTCATACGCCTTGAATCCTTCCTTAACGAAGGCTCATCTATCGTAGAAAGCACGTATACCTGCCTCTACGCGCACAGCAGTGTCATGGCAGATATGAAGGATCGTCTCGAACCCCTGTCCTTGACCGAGCAGATGCAAGCCATGATGATAGCTGCCACAAAAGGAACCCTTCCACAACACATTGTTTATTCTTCAACACTAATGATCATTCAGCTTACAGATTTATGTCGTGGAATTATTTTAAACGCAGATATTTATGAGGAAGAAGACTTTACAGGGAGTACGTATAGCATCCAGGTCTTTCAAGATCGGGACGATGAATCCGTGGTGAGCGTTGGACGCCGTGTCATAGAAATGATCCAGAAGCAGGAGGAGTCTTTAGAAAACCAAGATGGCACATCCAGTTTGAATGCGCTTCGAGCTGCCAACTTGATTCTGGGATTTGAGCTTGACATGATTGGTGTGATCACTTCTATGGCCGGGCTCTCTGGCTTGGATTCCATCAAAGAAGAGTTAAAAAAATCCCAAACCATCGCAAGAGCGGCGGTCGCAAAAGCCTCCCAGATATCCACAGCAATGACAGAGTTGAGAAAAGTCAAAACAGAGTCCATAAACGTCTTGATCAAACGAACTTTCGATTCGAATGTGAATTGTCCTCTGGTCGGTAACGCTCCGCTAAGAAAAATTGTTTTTCGAGAGGCAGAAGAATCGCTTTCTTTACTCCAAAAGATAATTCGAGAACTCGATCAGGTTGTTTGCAGCATTCTCCTAAAAGCCAATACACTTGGAAGGATACGACACATGATGAGGAACTTATCCGCTGCGACCACAAATATTCTGACAAGATCCCTAGTGGTGCTAAATCTATACTTCGATGAGAAGATATTCGGTCAGTACTTACTCCCTGAGATGATAATGAATCACCTAAAGCAGCTATCAGGTGTTCCAGACAGCATATTCACGAGCACGAAAGAGGTACCTGCGTTTTTGAATCGGCTTTGTAAGCCTGTGTATGACACTCTGAAAGTCCTTACTCTCAATAAGAACCGCCAGAGGAGCTACATTGATGTCATGCTCGGCGATTGGGCTTCTCTCCGAGAGGAAGCCTATATCGTCGACGTAGCGTATCACCAAGAATCTAACGCTAGTCTTCCAGAGCTCCAACCATATTTTAGTCTCTACGTCCTTTGCGTTACCATCGACTTGATGGACCACTACGTAGATTTGGGTGTAGAACTCCAGTTGCATTGCAATGAAGAAGAACTGGGGATTGTGTTTTGGTATCGCGATTTTCTCACGTCATCCTTACTAAGCCAAATCACGACTATGAGACAAACAAAAATGCTAGCCAAGAAAATGGAAGTCGCCGAGCAAGTGAAAAGACAGCAACAACAGACCCAAAAGCAAGCGAACAATAAAACACAAAAAAGTGGAAAGAAGAAAGGGAAGCAGAAGAAGTCTTCGAATAGCGGCGGTGGGAACGCGGGCTCTATTGCCATGCCCATCACCAATCCAGAAGACATCGAAGATGATTTCGACTTCCTTCTATTGACTCTSAAGCGAAACATGTGTCGTGGAATGGTACGCTTCTTTGCTGCTGTGCGACAAGCGGGGCTCGTTCCCGAAAAGAAATACGAGTTTACAACGAGTCAACGCATCTTCGAAAAAAGATTTGAGCTTTTTTCGTGTATACAACAACCCCCGCCACTCAGCTATGAGGATTACTTGAGCGGTTCGGACTTTTCCAAGGTGTCCCAGGGTGACTTGTGGGCTTCGACAGCTGATTCGTTTCGTCTCAGTAGGTCGATAATCGAGCGACTCTTGGCACAGATTCCTCTCATCGATCCAGATTACTCGGCTGTAAAGGAAGAGGAACTTCGGCAGCTCGCCAAAGTTTGCGTTGGCAATTCAATATACCTCCAGAAAATGATCCAGGCGGTGAATGGAAAGGGGGAATCAATGCCAAAAATAAAGATTGACAACAAGACCAACAGACAATTTTGCATGATTAAGATAGAATAGATCTATCGAGAGAATTCATATATCTTTCGGCAACGAAATAAGTAATAAAGTTATACTTCATTGCTGCTTTACTATCTTTTTCTAAAATGTGCATGCCGGTGGAGATATTTTGTTATTGGATCACAGTAGGCAGAACAATGGTAGATCGAAATCCACAAAGAGAGGTAAATCTACAAGCAATTTTTTCTTCTTAATTGTTTTCACGACAAAGTTTATTTTTTCGATTTAGAATAAATTACAAGGTCTGGATATTGCACTTTCCTTTAGGTACTTGTGTTTGGCAAGCCTTCACTTTTCGCCCGTTCATCTTCACCACACAGGTTCCTGCAAGGTACGGTGCGGCGAAATTCGAAAGAACAAATCATTAGTGTGGTCGTAATAGTTCCAACCAAAATAGAGAGGAAAAGAAGACAGCAAAATTTTGAGATTCAACTGTTTCATTCGAATCTAATTCCACCCCCAATTCTCTTCATTCGTACATGTACGGCCTAAAAAATCCTGAACGGGTTAACCAAAATAAAAAGCACGGAACTCACCGCAATCTCCGGCCTGGCAATTCACAGGAATCTTGACTCTCGCCTTTCCCCCTACAACCGTTAGTTTTTGACCCACGACGCAGCCTGGGACTGCTTTTCCATTCATTGTGACCGATTCGTTGTAGTTGGGACCACCGGAGAGACCCTCATTTTTTCGAGCTCCAAGATCGTCGTCATTGGCAAATGCATTCTTGAATGCATCCCCGAAGCCGTTCAGACGTGTTGTCGTCGTCGATGGCGATGGCGTTGACGGAGAAAATCCATGGGAAGGCCCCACCAAAAGAAGGGAAACAATTGCCGAGAAGAGACTGCTGCGCACCATTTTTGTTCTCTATCAACTACTGATGTCTGTGTGCTTCTTTGTTTTCGTTTAATAACACCAGAAACGAACTCAAGAACCAGAACCTACATCGTGCATAAATCGGTAAATCGGTCTACCAAAACCCTTCGTTGACGTCGCTGACGCAACAACGCAACGGGAACCTACGCGGTTTTTGACACATCACCTCTCATGTCAGATTTTTTTCATCAGATTTTGGCAGAAATAGTTTTTTGTTCTTCGGTAGTTTTACCCAGTCACATAATTCAGTCACAAGAAACAAACTCGTGATCCAAATAAATATGTGTCACGAATAGATGTTCGCCACACGAAGGCAGCCATCTGTGCGCAATACGAACTGTACCGTAGTGAAGTAATGTAGAAGTTAGAAGTAGGTAGTAGACAGCGTACGTTATTATTACGTACAAGTACTTTTAAGATGTTTGTACCGGTGCGGTAGATACGAGTACATGCTGTTCGAAGTACGTATTTACTATCAAAAACCAAATACGGTACGCTGAAATTTGGAAGTTGTTTTCCAATCCATCTATCCATCTACCTCCGCCACAGAACTCAACGCAGTAAAGCACTCCGTACGATCTCTCCGTAAATTTATGACACCCTCAACTGTACAGAGACACCTACAGCTGGACCTACCGAACTGCCGCAAAACATCAAGTGCAATAGAGTTTGCTTCGAGAGAACTACGAGAACTGCATTCCTCCAACGTAGATCACTCACAAAGAGACAATTAATAAAACCAACCCTGGCCTTATTTGTTTCCATTGACAGTTTGTGGGGYAGTCAACGAAGCGAACGGTAGTTGAATCTTTATTGATTAGAGWCTGGGACGAGATTGAATCTGAGATAGATATTTCTACTGGCCTTACTATAGGGTATACTTTTGTCTCGATTGTGCACGTTCATTCTTAAAAAAGAAACGTCCGCGTCGTACGATCTTCTCTTTTACACTGCATTAACTTTGCGGTGACATTGCTCTAGTGTTTCTTTGCCCAAAAGGTTTTCTACCACCTCTTCATCCAGAATCCATTCAGTACAACAAACATGACAAACAAAAAGAAAGATGAGGACGACGATCCGAATGATAAGCAAATTCGGACATCGAAGACTCCATCATGGGTCTGGTTATGCCTTGCGTTATTTGCAGTGATTACCTATGTAGGAATGCCAGATCCACTCCAGCCTCCACACGGTCAATCGCCATCGATACAGCATGTGTTTTACTACGGCTGGTTAACTGCTGTTTTCACCGGTTTGGGTGCCCTACCTCTGGCCTTTGCTCCGAATTTGGCCGCATATTGGGTGGGACTATCCAATGGTACGTTATCGACAGGACACTACGTGTTATTAGCAAAATGGTCCGATGCATATGGATCCTTTTTCACTATTTGTTTGGAAATGCGTTGCAAGTTTGACCTTAACATGGTGCCCGGTAATCACCGTTCAATGTAATTTTCTCATGGCAACTTGATATTATCTCCCAATTGAATGGTATTTTAGCTGTGGCAGCCGGTATGATGATTGCAGCAAGTTATTCCCTTTTGTATGAGGGTTGGACGTTTGATGATCCGAACGACGAATGTTCTGTTTCAGTACCTGCACGAACAATCATTGGAGGTTTTGTTGGACTTGTCTTTATCAATGTAACGGAGCGATTACTGGCCGATTATGAGGATTTGACTGTTGGTGGACTAGCAGGTGCAGATGCCAAGCGGGCTCTGTTGATTTTCTTTGTCATGACTCTACACTCCTTTTCAGAGGGAGTGGGAATCGGTGTCAGTTTTGGCGGTACACATGGAAGCGAACTCGGTGTCTTCATATCGGCAAGTCTTGCTGTACACAACATTCCCGAGGGTTTGGCAATGTCGGTAACTCTAATGCCGAGGGGAACTAGTCTGGCCACCGCTATTGTGTTTGCGATATTGACAAGCATTCCTCAGCCTCTCATGGCAGTGCCGGCCTACGAATTTGTTTATCATTTTATCCCTGTTCTTCCCGTCGGGCTTGGTTTTGCAGGAGGTGCCATGGCTTGGGTAGCATTATTTGAGTTGTTGAAGGAAGCCATTGAGGATTCAGGTATTCTTACCACGGCCTGTGTTTCCTCAGCCTCCCTGATAGGCATGCATTTCCTCAACGAAATTATAGACCATGGTGCTAGATCCTAAAACGAATGATCGCATATAGTGTCGATCTATGTGCTAATGCCATTGTGAGTGAAGTCAAAATAGCGTCATCCATAAYGGAAAAAAATTAAAATCCGAAAACTATAAAAATCGAAAAACTTCTTTATTTAGCCATCGTGACCGTTGTCATCAAGATTGTGAAACAATAGTCACTGTTGTTTACAACAAAGTTAGCGAATAAATGAACAGAATATATAATATTATAACATTGAGCAGCATCCGTGTTAGCCTCTGCCAGAATGATAAACCGTACTGTATCAGTTTCTGAATTGTTAGCCTTGCCTTTGGTAACCAATTTGGTTTAAATTTTGTACGGAATGCGATCAAATCTACATATCACACCAGCATAACCCCATATCTATTTGAACGTTGATTCTCTAAGAAACGAGCAGTATTCTGGTGAATACAAATAGTCTGATCTACCTCTTGGTCAATAAAAGACTGGCAATTCCCGCTGCAACACCTACAGCGGCAGCAACTGTCACGCCACCGATAGCCGCTTCTTTAATTTTCTTCTTATCTTCTTGCTCGATCGCTTCAATACTAGAAAGATGAATTTCCCGGGCGAGTCGAGACTCGGGATGTGACCTAAGGATGTTTTCCGCTCGAAACTAAAGACGGAATATTTTCAAGGGAAAAAATACAAAAATGGGAAGCATCAAATGAGTAGGCCGCAATTTGAATTCTTTTTGTCTGTAATTCAGTCGTTTTGCAAAATTCTTAACAACACCCACCAATATCAAACAAAACGAACCAGAAAGACTTACCCTTGCTTTGTCGTATTCACCCAATAGATAAAGCGCACATGCAGACCCGTACATGCAATCCACTTGATGTTCATAACCCTCTTTTACCAATCCGTCCAGAATCTGAATTGCGTATCGAAGTTCCGATCGCTCAGAAGATTTCGACAAGCAAAAGGCGTATTGAAATGTATTATCCTCGGACGGAGACTTGGCGCAAGCGATAGCGAGGTCTTCCAGAATCTGACGAGTTGGTCGTGCCAGTTTCAGTTTCTGATCCAGCTCGGCTTTGGCAGTTTTCTGTGTATTCTTTGTCGTTCCCATAGTGAATGGTTGTATTTTGTTCTGAGTGGATATAGCTTGTATTCTTCTCTTATTTGCACTCTAAGATGACATTTCTTTTGCGTTTACAAGGACTTCATGATTTTTGAACTTCAGCGGAAAAGACTGCAAAACCGTTCTTCAGTTTTTCCCTCTTTCTTTGACATAGCTTCTACGGTGCGTACGCTACAAAAAAAAACTTTTCTTGCTACTTTTTGTTGTGAGACTATGAGTAAGGTACGTACGTATCGAGTACCATATCGTACCGTACGACGCTCATGTGCAACATTTTGATCCTTTCTATGGAGTTCGTAATTGTGTAAGAAGTCGTGTCTTTTTCATTCGTGCCMTGCTCTTGATGATTCAATTCTACCGTAGAACCTCATAGATTTTCTGACAACAAAATTTTAGATCCCCCCATTTCTACTTTACCCTTTCATGTGACTGTCAACTTCATCAAGGTACTATTGATTGACTGGCTAACGAATGAAGTAGTAGTAGTACTGTGATGTACTAGTTTGTTGTTCTTTGGTACAAAAACAAAGTGAGTTGCATGAGTTTAAAGGTGGAAAACAAGTACTACTAGTACTAGTACTAGTAGTACTAGTAGTACTATGAAAAGAATTTAGTAACAAAAGCCAATGACGAGAAGCAAACTACTAATGAAAGAACAAGAAGATCAACCACTCTGGTGGTTCTTGTTTCTTGTTGTGGTTTCTGCTACTACTAAAATAGTAGCATTAAAATTCATTGATTCTTGTTGTCTAGTACTACTACTAGTAGTACGTTGAGTATCATTGTTATCATTGTTGTTCTTGTTGTTAGTAAAGAGGAGAAKAGCACCAGGTGTTCTTGCAAAATGACCAGTGAAAATTTTAGTAACAACTCCTGGAAGCACAACGTGAATCCAATTGCTTGGTTAACAACAAGGCCAAGTTGAAACCAACACATTTTCCAAAGAGCTTCCCTGTAATTTGTGAACACCACAACATAAATTGGGAATTGAGCTTAGTGTAGTAGCTACTCTCTTGTCGCTTGTTTGAGTTTGATGGGTAGCTTTTATTCATATTCTTGAGGACATTAAAATTTAGCCTTTGCTGCTGCAGTGTTTGATAACACCTTCTTATCCATTCAACCTTCTCGGCATCTACTAGTACTACACTTCAAACAAAATATAAATCCTTCACAGCAATCCTTGTACTTAGTATCTATTTTTTAGTTTTCTCAGAGGACTAAAAAAAACTTAAAATTGTATTTTACCTCATAAACTACTACTAGTAGAAGAGGCATTCTTTTGTGGTCCAGAACCATTGTGATGTTACCTCTGGTGAGGAGCCAGAATAATGCTCCTAATCACTCCAAGGGGTGGTATCTCCCTCTAGTACAATATTTTTGAAGCACATCTTGGTGTAGTAGTACTATTTGTAATCTGATTCTTTGACTATCACCAATATTGTCACAATATTTCTATTAGTAATGGTCCTTACTGTTGGGGATATAATATCAGTGGTTACTATTTGAAAATTTTCATTAGTTCTTCCTACTAATGGATAATCTCCATTACTACTTAGTAATAGTGGGGATGTTATGTCAGCAAGCACGACTGCAAACTACAGGGTAAGGCTGTCCTGTTTATGTTTGTACAGGAATTACAAAAAACTTGCCAGCATGGGGCTTACCATTACTAGTCCTAAACAGGAATGAGGAAGGCACGATGGTGAGAAACATGTTAGTTACTTTTGCATTCTTCTAACCATGCTTGTCCTGAATGCTCCTATGATGTTTGTAGTAACAGCAGTGTAAGTATTAGTAGTAATGTTAATTGTAGCATTATGTGGACAACTATGTCCTCAATGTTTTAGCCTCTTGGAAGTCTCTTGGTATTGCTCTCTGCTGCCTTGATAGAAATCCTGTTGTCATAGAATTGTGTAATTAGATCCTACCAAGAACTGGTGCTGCAGTTCTCAAAAAATGGAATTGTTAATTTTGTGACTCATGCTCTCTCTCCTGTTCCCATCAGGAAGACAGTACTATCAATATCCTTCACTGCTGTTGTACCAGTTGCCTTTCCTGGCATGACAATACTATCTTATCTTTGAGGAAGATAATGACAACCATTGGATTCCCCCTATATATTGCCCCTGAAACCTTCGTAAGCTGTGTTCCAGAATGGTTTGCCACTGCCTGTATTACTCCACCAGAGAAAGACTTCAACAAGAGTCTCCACCTGGCAAAAAACCACTATGAGACCAACACAAGTTGTCACCATCTTTTTATGTGCCACCTACTTTCCCACCATTTGATCTAAGAGTCAGATCTCTATTGGCCTTGGTCGGTGTGCCTCTCATCATAGCCAWAGCTAAAAGCTGTCAACATTGTTTTTGAGTGCCGTGGAATGCACCAGGCCATGGCTATAGCTCTCACTATCACTGCTATTGGTTAGGAGAGGGTGATTGTATCAAGTTTTTGCTGACAAGAAATAAATTCCCTCCAATGACTAAGTATCCAGCAAGTCCTGGGAGGAATTGGGTTCCAATGAATTTTGGAATGGCCATCAATGATAATGACTTCACMTTTTTCAAGGATCAGTGAATATTGGGTCTCATCAATTTTTGAATGACTGATTAGATTCAATAAAATATTGGAATGACTGATAACAAATATGAATGATTTTTTAGAGTCTTGGGAGGAATTTGGTTCTCTTAAATCTAGGAATGACTGAACATGAAGTTTTTGGAATTTAGTGGTTMTCTTATCTTGAGGTAACTGCATGAATTGTTCTTGGTCTGGTGAACTAGTAGTACAAATATTTAAAATGAATCATTTGTTTTTTGATAGGGTACTAATTTATTTGCAATTTTGGGGTACCAAAGCCTTGATGAATTCTTCAGAATTTTTTTGATTCTTCAGAAAATCCTAAGCAGTGAAAATCATAAAGGTGATTGACTTCTGTGCACAAGAGGTGAGAAGTGGTAGTCTAGTACACAACTCATAGCCAATTTTGATTGGACTCCTTCTATCCTCTAATTTGATCTTCAAATATACAGTTCCAAAATAATCTAGAGTGAAGATTATGATAAATACAAAATTATTTTTCAGCTCTTCAATTACAGTTGAGACATAGTAGCTACTGTAATTATGGTAGTACATTATTCTAACTAGTAATACTATCATGTTTGAAATATCAATTTTCATAAGAAACACCAAAAAAGTGAGATATATTTTCAACATTGGTTGTTTCTTGTTACTTCTACTTGGAGGAGCGTATAGTTAGGGATTCAGAATGATCCAGTGTGCAGTGAAATGAAGCGGTGGAATATAGCTACTATCCTATACCAGCAACAAGTTGAGAGAAACACCAGTACAGCAGAGAATGCCACAAAGGAATTTTGATTCCAGCATTCAGAATGTTTCCTCCTTTTCTTTAAAACTTCTAGTACTACTACTAGTAGTTGTTATTGCGTGGAATCTTTGTAGCCCTCCTGAACAACAAGAATAAGCTGAAACTGAAAGAAGAACACAATAGTACTACTACTAGTAAATGCATGGTGCTKGTGTTGCTGGCCCCTAAACTGTTAGTACTACTCTACTTCATTCTTGTTGTTGTTGTCCTCCACAGCACAACAATATCCATTTAATAACTTTCTTCTTTGTGCAAGAAATAGCAAGTACTCACTTGAAGTGCAACAATTATTACTATGATCAAGTACTTTAATAAAAAGGCTCAAGTTGGAAGTCATTCTTGTTCTTGTTGCCTTACCATACTACTACAAGTAGTTCAACCTTCCTGGTTGTACCAGTACCACTACCGTCACTAGTGCTGACTACTGGCAAAGAAAAAAATAATTTGATGGGACACTCTTTGTTGACAGATAGACATTACATATGAGAAGAGTCAAATAATATTTTGGAAAGCATGGATATATTTGTGACATATTTGTCAATGAGTCGCTCAAGCGCTTTGTCCGCACCAACTCTGCACCTTCAAAGCCAAGCCCTGAGGAGTGGACAACAGTTCAAATCATTGACAGGAAGAAGCAAGAGGACATTGTAGATGAAGATGTCAAGGAAGTACTGACTGACATGTACAAAGAGGAAGTGAAGCAAAGTGTTAAGGAGTACACCATATACTAGTACTCAAGTGACATGGAAAACAAGGTATACACACTTCCACTCAGACAGATTGATGACAGTGTGAAGGAAATGCTTAAGAGCAATGACAGATGGCAGTTTATCAACAGGGACCAATGCCTGGTGGAACTGCTTAAGCTATTGAGAGATATCTGCTTCCAAGGGGGTACAAAACCAAGATCCATACACTAACCAACAACCTGGTGCAACCCTTTTGGAAGCTGATATGCTCCTGGCAACGCACTGGGAATTATACAGTCTTTCTTGTTCAAACCGTCATGCATAGCAGTGAGGTGCTGGACACTATCAGAGGCAAATAATTTTGCCCATGAGCCTAGTACAACCAACAAAAAATACAGTGAAGGAGAGAACAAGATATCATATCAGGACTACCTTGAGATGGCGCACAACAACAAAGCAAAACAAAGGATCAATCACATGGCTTTCAAGCAGTTCATCGCAGCTATCATAGTCATCAAAGGCAATGATGAGGAGACCAACACACTCAAGGAGACTCTAAAGGTAACCAATACAGTCCGGGTGTGAACAGATATCCAACAACAACCACACAGGCTCTTGATATGCCAAACCATTTAAAGGGAGGAAGCAGGAAAGCACAGATAAAGAGAAATAACACCAGGGCAGCAAGAACAACCAGAAGCAAAAAGGGAAAGAGACCCAAACTACCAAAGAATGATCAAACAGAGAGCCAAGGCAGGGAAACAAAATAGTCCACCACCTTTGTAAACAGAGGAGTGGAGAAGAAGCAGCAAATAGCACACCAATCCTTAATCATGGCATTGCAAAACAATGTCAATTTGGCACAGGAGATGGATAACTACTTCCAGCTCTGCATTGAAAATACTGGGTCAAGCGCAACAAATCTGTCACACTGCTGCGTCCAATTGGCCAGTGAAAATGGGGAAGAGAACTGTCTAGTGCATCAAGCTACTATATCAGTGGAACAGG